CCTCAAAAAAACAAAAACAAACAAAAAAAAACAAAAAAAAAAAAAACACAGGAGCCCGTCCTTGGCGAGTTTGGCCATAAAGAAATGCAATTTTTATTTTTTCTAATTCTCAAAGGGTCACCTACCAGCTCACTCAAGAAATACACAATACTAAAAATCTATGAACGCACACATCTAATAAAAAAAAAAAAAAAAAAAACACAAAAAGGAAAAAAATACAATCACATTGCTACGTCATTCATGTCTCTCCTCATCACTGACTACTTCATTCTGATAAAGGGAGGTGAGGAAAACTTGTTGATGCACACAGGAACAGAGAGGGATTCTTGTTGTGGTTATGTACAGGTCTAAACAAAGTGTGACCCAGACACTATTTTACAACATTCACTCAAAGGGAAGCACAGTCTGAGGTAAAAAAATCTGACTTCAACACAAAGCCTTTTAAAAACAAGTGAAATACAAATGAAAACTTCAGCTGCATTGGGCATGAACGTTTACCAGGATGGACAGTTGACGAGTTTCAGTCACGCTGTCAGCTTCTGCAGGTTTGGTGATCAGGATCCGTCTGCCTTCCCTCTCTAACCTGTCCCTGTGACTGCGGTGTGTGAGGCCGAATTAAAGGACTCGGCTGCACTGTTTACAGGCTGCGTTTGAAGCAGACAGCCGAGCAGGAAGAAAACAAAAGAGGTTTCACCGCAATACGTTGATGGTGGCTACTGGTGATGGGCTAGTGTGAGTGTGCTCCACTGATCCCACAGCACGGTTCGGTCTATGAGGAGGTGCTGTAGGAGGACACGCTCCTGCCCGCCTTACGTTCATAGTTTACCAGTCGCTGTCCAACCAGGTACCTGCAGGAGGGATGGAAACAGTTAGCTAGTCAGTGGTGTGCCATTCCATGCTGCTCTTTAAATTGTTTGCAAAGCTAACAAATATGCTAAGATCTTTCCTCGTATTCCCACTGCAGAGCTACAACTGCACTAACACGCTAGTAGGGACAGCCCTGGAAGCCGGCAGACATTTTACACTGTTTAATTTTATGTTGAAATATTTTAGGCAAAATAAAAAAAATGAAACACTATAAAAATATTTTTTTATGGTGACTTTAAAGTAAAAGGTTTGACTTGAAGACCAACGGCCTCCATTTGTGGTTTGTGTAAGACTGTTTGCAGAAAGGTGGCATGCAGAACAGCGGAAATCTGCTCACAACAAAAGCGATCGCAGGGAAGTTTTATGTGCAGTCCTGTGTACGTCTGTGAGACCGATTTCATCTAACGACAGCAAGCAACGTCCCACAACCACTTGCCAATGTTCATTTTTCTGTAGCAAACAGTGGTTGCTATGGTTACCAGTGGTAACCAGTCTCCAAGCCAATGTAACTGAGGCCTTAAAAGTTGTCTTCTTGGAAAATAAACTTCTCAGTGTCGCTCACACCTCCCTACTCTCTCCTTCAGAATTACTGATCAGAGCGTGAATACGCATCAATGAAGTCAAACATGACCCTGACCAAACATTTTTCCTGTCAATATTTGACAAACATGAATGGAATCGTGTTTCCACACCAAGGTTCCGCTACTGGAATTTCTCTGAATCCTACTAGAACACCGAGCCCCCCCCCCCAATGTAAAAAAAGTATCACCACTACTCACTTGTCATTTTTGATGTGTTCGTAGAGGCGTTTGAACTGTCGTATCTGAAACGACAGGATTGCCAACAGGATGAAGACCATGAGCAGGAACGGATAGATTCTCCTCTCCACAAGTGTCTGCATCCCTGGCTGTACTCCTACATACAGAGGGAGAGAACAAGCAGTGAAACAGGAGCTGCTGTTTGGGTCGTCTTCAGGAATTGATGGGCTATAGCAGAGAGGGTGAGGTAAGTGCCAGAGAGCAAGTCACTTAACATTTGTCAAGAGTAAACATTGAGGAAAGACTAAACCAATCAGCTGCTTAGAGAACAGCTAACAGTTTATTCCCAGGAGAGGACTGGGAATTCTTAATTGACAGGTTGTTTAAATGCATGTGTTGTCTGTGTGAACATCAGAAATCCCTGTTTAAACCACACCTACATTTAATAGGCTTTGCATAAAAAGCAGATTTTAAAATGCACCCTGTCTAAATTAGTGAGGCTCTGCCGGTACCCTGGCCTCTGTGCCTGAATTTTGATCAGTTTCTAATTTAATCAACAACATTCATTTTCATTCTCAAGGTTGCAGAGTCTCAGTCTGCTCTAAATTATCAGTATCAGCAAAAGTTGTGTTAAAGGCAGAGGCCTTAAAGAAAGAAGAGTTAGAAGGGCTCATTTTAGACTAGAGGATGAACTGAGGAGCTACACTAAAGCTGTACCTCTGATGTACTCAGAAGTTAAATAAAGGTAATCTTGAACTGTGAATCATCTAAAGCTACTCTAGCAGAGTCCAAGAATGAGTATAATAAGTCTACTTTATGGATCACTGCTATTTAAAATGCTGTTATATCTAGGGAAAAATGACAGTTCATTACTAATAATCATAAAATAATAATTATGTTTAAGTTACACAATTTGCCCATAAGTTCATTTTCTTGTATTACAGAGAATTATGAGAAATACCACATAATGTAAACATAAACAAAGAAACCTGTTCATCTGTACTGCACAGACTGACTGTAAAGGTTTTGGCTGTTCCCTTTAGAAGCCCCCACTCTGCTTCCATCTACCCAGCATCCTCATCTGTCACACCAACCCTCTGTATTTCCTCCTTAACTACATCCATCACACTTATGAGTTCTTCCTGTATTCCTTCGTCTAGTACAGGTGTGGGGGAACTCCAGGCCTCAAGGGCCGGTGTCCTTCAGGTTTTAGATGTGTCCTTGATCCAACACATCTGATTTAAATGGCTAAATGACCTCCTCAACATGTCTTGAAGTTCTCCAGAAACCAGGTAATGAACTAATCATTTGATTCAGGTGTGTTGACCCAGGGTGATATCTAAAACCTGCAGGACACCGGCCCTCGAGGCCTGGAGTTTGACACCCCCTGTTACAGCAGGTCTCCCTTTCACTCTTGCTGCCATCCTTCTGTCACAAATCACCCCTCACATTCGTCTGCACCCTCTCCACCCTGCCTGCAGTGTTCTGCACCATCCATTGCTTTGTATTGACTTCAGTTATTCTGAAATCTTCTACCTTCACATTTTCACCTTCTATGCATTTTGCACCTCTCTCCCTCCACCTGTTCCCTACTCTCAGTACAGATCACAATGTTGTCTGCAAAAATAGTCCCTCAAATCCATCTCTAACTCGTACTTTACCACTGAATTGCTGTCCTCATGTACTGCACCACCCTGATGCAGTCCCACAGTTCCTCTCTTGGCACCTTATCATATGCTTTCTCTGGATCCACAAAGACACAGTGTAACTTCTGACTTTCTCTGTACTTCTCCAGCAACACTTTCAAAGCAAACAGCACACCTGTAATGCTCTTTCTCAGCATGAAGCCATACTCCTGCTTCTTAACCCAGCTTCAGCATCTCTTTCCCACAGCCTCACGGTGTGGCTCATCAACTTGATTCCTCTTTAGTTACTACAGTTGTGCACATCAGCCTTGTTCTTGGGGAAAGAAAATAAAAATAAATAAATAAATAAAAAATCAGGACAAGTACACTTCTCCATTCTTCAGGGTTCCTCTCACTCTCCAAGATTGTGTTTATCTGTTTGTTTGTTTTTATAAACCCTCCAGTGGTTTTGGTCTCCCTCTCCCTGTACTCTTTCCACCTGCATCCCGAATTATCCTCACCTGCTGCTTGATCGATCTAGCTTGCTCCCTTTGACTAGCCAGTCGATGCAAGTGCTTTTCTCTTTCCTTAGTGTCCAGCTTGACATATAACTCACTATAAGCCTTTTCCTGTGTCACCTCATTCTCAATGCAATGCTCCTGTTTACTTTCTTCAATTCCCTGAGTTTCACACTTTATTCATCACGAACCACTTCCTTTAAACACATTTGTGTAGTAGATTCTCACCACACACCATCTTGCAGTCTCCCAACACAGTTGATATTAAAATCTTAGATGAGGGGGTATGATTTTTTTTTTTTTCCATTAGGCCATCTACGACTCCAATTACAGAAGGAAAACTTTACCAGAAACATGAATACACCAGAAATCAGTCCTCTAACCACTAAAAAGTGATCTTTGTTGTGTACACTAAGGTACAAGAATATCCATACATCCCTGAAAGACACAGACATTTCAAGCAACATACCTAACAGTGGTGTAACACCTTTAGAGATTGTGTAGGGCAAACAGAGACACAGCAGCAGCACACAGATAACTGGGGCAGCCAGCCTACGCACAATGAAATGGAGGTCAATATTTCTGATGCCGTTAGCATACACCTGCAGGAAGGAAGGAGGGAGAGAGGGAGATTAGTTCCTTCATTCCAGTGTGGGAAAACAGGATTTTATCAGTTTGATGATACTGACATTTTTGCACATTTCTCATTTGCATTGTTTAAGTGTTTATTCGTTATTTTGACTGCAACTTTGAAGAATGCAAGACTGACCTGCTCAATAACGGTTTTAAGCCACCATTGAGGGCCCATCAGTGTTATAGCAGCGATGATTTTAGCATGAAGCACACCCAACGCCCAGTCCTGTCACACAAAGAGAAGCAGTCAGTACATAACCAGGACACAAAGACACCATCGCAAAATGTCATCACGTGAATGCTTCTAATGTTGACATGCCACCATCCTCAAAACGGACACAAGGTGTTGATTTGTTGCTGTGAATAGATCAATTCATTTAACATCACAAGCAGCATTAACAAGAAAATAAAATGGTTGAGAAGAATAAAAATAATGCAGTGACTAAATCCAAGAAGTAACAATTTAGTTCACCATTTAGAAATTTATTCACATTTTCTTAGGTAAGTGTTCCTACCTGCCAGGGGTAGAAGAGAGGCGTCTGGTCTAGTGGCACTCTGAGAGGAGCAACAATGACCAGCTCAAACAGCAGACCCAACAGCAGAGGAATTACCGCAGCTAACAGCAGGGCTACCACCACCGTCTTAAGGATCTGTTCCCATCAGGACATCACACCCAATCCATAAATCAGAATACAACTTGCCACAGAACAGCTGAGAAATGATATATTTGCAGTCGGTGGGACAGAAATCCACATTACCATGAGCGTCCACTCGTGGACTCTTAGCATGATGACTGTCCGTCCCTGTGGCATCCAAGACAGCATCACCGTGGCAGCTCGAATGGACAGCCAGCAGACGTATAGACCACTGGCTGCTGTGTACAGCTCATGAACCATGGCGCTGCCCATCCAGAAGGACATCAGCCAACGACCCACAAACACTGAGAGAGAAGGAGGAGAAGGTGGAGGGGGGAAAAAAATGACTAGCTGAAAACTAGGGCCAGGAGACATCATGTACACAAGATAATTTGCCTGCTTGCGTCTTACCTGGCAGTGTGAGGCAGATCAGACTTGCTAATAACAGTGTGACACACATGAAGACAACCAACAGAATGATCTGAACAAGAGGAAACACAAAACAGTTAACATTCAATATGAGCAGAGGCTTCAAAAGTGACAGGACTCCTGCGATGAGCACACACCTTTAGGGGGAAGTTGATGGGCCGGTGGTACGGCTGGAAACCAACGGGGCCACCCTGCTGCAGAATGGCTTGATGGGCAGCGTGAAGCCCTTCCCCGAGGCCCGGGATCCGGTTGTTGTTAACGCGACCAGGATGGTTATTTTGTTGGTTGTCATCTTCTTCATGGTCTCCCAGCAAGTAGGAGTGAAGATCACTGTGGGAGAGCCATTTGAGCAAATGCAGTCTTTTATTACCGTGTATGAGACTGAAGACAAAAACTAACACACACTGTGGTCTCTTTGTATGTCTCTTTGTTTAATTTCTCCAAATTACCACAACCAAAGGTCATCATAAAAAGTCAAATTGGTGCTTAAATGCTTCAGATTTAACACTAGAATTACTGACCCCTGTTTTTCCTGGTGCAAGTCCCTACTACTAGATTTACTGACCCCTGCGCAAATTTGCGTAAATTCCCCTGAACCTACCGGTAAGACCTCCTAGAATTACTGACTTTTTTATTTTCTGGTGGAAGTCCCGAGGTGTTAATCACCCCTGCTGAAATTTTCACAGGTCATCAGCTCGATTCTCC